TTAGTTCCCTGACCAGGGATTGAACCTGGGTCCTCAGCAGTGAAAGCTCGGAGTCCTAACCACTGGACAACCAGGGAATTCTCAACACTTAAATTTTTTTTTAAAAAAGTATGTGCTTGTTCTTATTTGCACGTTTCTGGACTGTAGGCATTTGAACAAATAGAATCCCATGAAAGGCAAAAACTGCAAAGTGGCACAGGTTGAAAGGCCAGCTTTCTTGCATTAGGCACAAGTACAGGATGGTGTTTGAGGCATTTTTATTAGTTAACTGCAGGTAGCCAAGTACTTGCATCAGAACTGTTCCCTCAGTTGTCTCTGGGTTCACAGTCATTTCATCCAGAGCATCTCTGGATGACATCTCTTGTTGGATATTTGGGTTTCATTCCAGCCAGAGTAGTCTGTTTCACATTCTGCTGCCAAACTCTGACAGTCTTTCGAAGACTTGGGCTAAGAGAAGAGAGGGACGTAAACACTAGTTTAATTGTCCTGCCTTGACTTTGACAGATAGTGAGACCTAACTTTTCTACTAAATGAAGAGTGACAGCCAAAAAAAATAGGTTGTATTATTACATGTAGTTTCACATATTTAGGGATACCTTTTTCTATTTCTGTTTTGTAGCTGGAACTGTTCCCCTAGGAAGCAGTTATAGGACTTTTCCTTATTCCTTAAAAAACAAATGATTAAAACAACAAAATCCAAACCAAAAATAAGACCAAAACCCACCAATCCTTATTGGATCTTTGGCAGATCCAGGTTAGAATCATGGGCAGAGCCAGTAGGAAAAATAGCTAGAGGAGAATATTCCTTTTTGGTTTTTTTAAAAGAAAAGAGAACTCTTTTAAAGCCTGCTTTACTACTGTCCTCCTTGTGGATCAGGCCTGTTCCTGGTGCCATTTCTTAAAAAAAGAAAAAAAAATCCCTTTGTCTGAATCTGTTTTTCTCCCCTCTGAAATTTCAAAAGTTGTGTACCTGAAGACCTACCAACCTACCAATAACATTCATATTTAACCTTACCATTTCTTTCTAGGTCTAATTTGAGAGACATAGAGAGACAGGCAGAGAGATTGTCCTCTTACTTACTTCCCCTTAGTTATAAACAATAAAGAAAACCCAAAAAATGTTTAAAGTGTTATGTATTTTATTTTTCAGGGGGAGAAAAACAACAGAATACCTGAGATTGTGCCTCAATTTGCTAGAAGAAAAATTCTGACTAGAGGCCATAGTGGTGGTTAGCAACATATTAAGAGAGAATGGGACAGGCCATACCTATTGGAGGGACCCTGATTTGGGGCTGGGGGGGATGCAGGCTAAATGGCGCTGGTTCTTAGGAGAAACGTGTTCCCAGGGATATAGTGACATGACCCTCGTCCACATGCTCATTGTAAGCTTCTGAGGCCCTCTTCTTATTCCACTTTTACAGTTCTCATTTCTTCTCTTGACTCTTACCCTTTCTTGTTACCTAGTAGTAGAAATGGTACGAAAAGGGCGTACCCCACATGTGCTCTGGACATCTCTGGGTAGAAATGAAATGCTTCTTTAAAGTTGTTTTTATATATGGTCATTTTATAGTACTTTGAATATTATAGGCGGAGAGAATCTCTCAAGCCGTACCGTATTCCTTTCTGTCTTTGGTTGTAAAAGTGCTAGAGGGCAGGCAACGCAGAATAATTTCTGGCTCTCTCCAGATGCTTTCCCTAGAGCTCTGGAGGCAGCTGGTCTGCTTTTCAAGTTATTGCAGGTCACAGCACTACCATATATTTTGATACAGCATAAATGGTGTCAGTTGATTTCCAAACACTACTATCACTGTTCTCTCACCTGCTCACCAGCCCACCTATTTTAAGTTTTTGTTATGTCAGTGCTCCACACCTGATGCCAGTTTCTGTGTTAGAGCATGGGTTAAACTGATCTAACAGAGATGTCCAAATACAGCAGTGGTTTAAATAAAACATTCATTTTTCTTTTGTGTAATATTTCTGAGAGTGAGAGGTCCAGGCTGATGGGGGTGTCTTTGCTCCCTGTGGTTATTTTTTATTTATTTTTTTTGCGGTACACGGGCCTCTCACTGCCGTGGCCTCTCCCGTTGCGGAGCACAGGCTCCGGACGCGCAGGCTCAGCGGCCATGGCTCACGGGCCCAGCTGCTCCGTGGCATGTGGGATCTTCTCGGACTGGGGCGTGAACCTGTGTCCCCTGCGTTGGCAGGTGGACTCTCAACCACTGCGCCACCAGGGAAGCCCTGCAGATCTTTTTATAATCCTTGTTTGATACAAATGTATTTTATATTTGTAGTTTTGATTCTATACCAGTTTTGTGGCTAGGGGTAGGCAGGACAGACACCGTGATTAATAGGCCCCACAAGCACTTAATTTATGGTCAACTTTTCTACTTCAGTTTTTTTTTTTTTTTTTTTTCTTGCGTTATGCGGGCCTCTCACTGTTGTGGCCTCTCCCATTTGCGGAGCACAGGCTCCGGACGCGCAGGCTCAGCGGCCCTGGCTCACGGGCCCAGCCGCTCCGCGGCACGTGGGATCTTCCCGAAACGGGGCACGAACCCGCGTCTCCTGCATCGGCAGGCGGACTCTCAAGCACTGCGCCACCAGGGAAGCCCTCTACTTCAGTTTTAAAGAGAAGCATTTTATTTTATTTTAACACCTTTATTGGAGTATAATTGCTTTACAATGGTGTGTTAGTTTCTGCTTTATAGCAGTGAGTCAGTTATACATATACATATATTCCCACATCTCTTCCCTCTTGCATCAAAAATATGGAATGCTTCATGAATTTGCGTGTCATCCTTGCACAGGGGCCATGCTAATCTTCTCTGTATCATTCCAATTTTAGTATATGTGCTGCCAAAGCAAGCACAAAAGAAACATTTTAAATAGGAAAACCAAAACCATATGTTTGATGCCTCATTGCATCATTAATTTTATGATTTGACAGGATTTACAATTGTTTATAATTATTTCTAACTAAAAAATTAATAGTTCTCAAAATTATTCATTTGTCAGAATAGTTCCCTAAAACTCATTTTGAATCTAGAAGACTTTGACAGGGAAGTCATGCTGATCTGAGAGGTAAGAAACCAGATTTGATGTGAAAGTGAGTGTTCAAGCTGCTAGATGTGCCTCGTATGCAGTTGAAGTATGGTCTGGAGCTCAGGACAGGAGGTAGGGTTAGGGATGTTGACTTAAAAATCAGTAAGTCAGGGACTTCCCTGGTGGTGCCGTGGTTAAGAATCCACCTCCCAATGCAGGGGACGTGGGTTTGATCCCTGGTCAGGGAACTAGATCCCACATGCATGCCGCAACTAAGACTTCACGTGCTGCAACTAAGGAACCCGCCTGCCACAACTAAGACCCGGCACAACCAAAAATAAATAAATTAAAAAAAAATCAGTAAGTTGGGCTTCCCTGGTGGCACAGTGGTTAAGAATCTGCCTGCTAGTGCAGGGGACCCTGGCTCGAGCCCTGGTCCAGGAAGATCCCACATGTCACGGGGCAGCTAAGCCCGCGAACCACAACTACTGTGTGCCTAGAGCCCGTGCTCCACAACAAGAGAAGCCACCGTGGTGAGAAGCCCCCGCGCCACAATGAAGAGTAGCCTCTGCTTACCACAACTAGAGAAAGCCTACACACAGCAGCAAAGACCCAACACAGCCAAAAATAAATAAATAAATAAATTACACACACACACATACACACACACACACACACACACACACAAGATGAGCACGTAAAGGACATGTCGAGAGCTGCACTCACATGTAGAGGTCTCAAGTCAGCTGAAGAGACAGATATTAGGCCGTTTAATTAATCTTTGTTAACAACCTCATGAAGTATAGGTAGCTTTCTACTTTTATGGGGAGTGAATTGAAGCTGAGAGAGATGACTTCTGCATAAAGTTGCCTAGTTTGTAGTTGGTGGAACTTGTCCTCATGACTCCAAAGCCCATAGTAGTAATCCATGATATCTCCCTTGTGTTTAAGAGGTGAAAAGCATTTCACTAAAGAGGGAGTGAGTACTCCTTAGTGCCAGATGAATTTCTGGAGTGTTTGAAGGCTTGTGAGTAGCCCGGGATTATTTATTAGTTCTTTTGCCACCAGTGGAGGTGGAGAGAACAGTGCTGTGGTTGGAGGATGGATGCCTTGTAGGAAGGGTTTGAGGTGGAGGGCAACCACTCCAGAGTCCCATTGCATGAAATTTGGTGGTGAAAGGAAGAAAAGACAGGAGGAGCTTAAACGACTGTAAGCTTTTCTTGTTGGTTGGTTGGTTGGTTTGTTTGGGGGTAGTGGTGCAGAAAAGTATGTGTAAATTTCCAGTTAGAAAGGAAAGATGGAGCCAGGAGCGTGGGGTTGCATCAGGAGCGCTAGTGCAGGGATCATGCCTGTTAATGTCTAACAATAGTGTGAGAGACAGGGTGGTGGATATGTCATTTTATTTAAAGAGAGGAATGATATTAGGGGTAATGGTGTTTGGAAACCCTCTCAACAGTTAGGTTGCCTCCTAAGAAAGTATATGTGAGGTGTTCGGGGTTGGAGTCTTGAGGATAATTGAAAAAGGCACTGGAGTCAAGGTGTGTTCTTTTCAGTCATTTAGCTTTTAGAATGGCTGATAGAGGCCGTAATGCTTGTTTTAAATGAATGATAATTTCAATTTATAAATTACCAAGAAACTTTTTCATGAGTCACATTTGTTGTGTAGAGGAACTGCTATAATCCTGAAAAAAGGTTCTTAACAGTTATTATTAAGATTTGCGTCAATTGTAATTTGGAAAAGTGTGCCCTGTTTTACATTATTTTGATTATCATTTTATAATAGAGAAAAAATATAAACAGTACCATTAATTATATATATATAAGCTTTTCCTATGTTAGTTAAGTATTGTCATTTGTTGCTTCATTATTTTTCCTTTACGATGTATGCTTTATAGATAAATTCACTAAAGATTGGTATAATGCAGAATGACTTTTTGTATTCTCTTGTTTACTATTAAGCAGAAATCAAAGAACAGTCAGCAGAAGAGGATGCTGAAGCAGAAGTGGACAGCAGCAAGCAGCCAGTCCCAGCCTTTCAGCGTTCTGTATCTGAGGAATCTGCAACCTCCCTGGTCTCTGTTGGTATAGAAGCCAAAATCAGGTTAGAGAATGAATGCAACTGGATTGGAGATTAGTGATGGGCAAAAGAGCAGCGAGTTGACTGTAGAGGGAGTTCAGAGAGTGCAGGCTTAGGACAGAAAGCTGGGTGGACTTTTAGAGCTGACAGCTCTGCACGTGGCTGGAGTGAAGCACGTCCGTGGGCTTAGGTGGCTGTAGAACAGAGCAGTGGGCTACTGTGTTACTCTGCTCTCCTCAGACCAGGACAGAATATTTCCAGTATGTGATTCCTAGAAGAATAAAAAAGTCTAAACTTTTAGCATAAGAACTGATTTTTTATTTACTTGTAAACTTAAGTTTACACTCTTGTTCTTTACCCTCTCTTCATTCTTTAAAAAAAGAAATACAGGATGTGGTAACTTCTCTGTGTATCATTCAGCTTAAGTCTTGTAATTTTTTAGATCTTAACTTGGAAGCCATGAATAAAACTGAAACCATCCATCAGTTGAATATTCCCATCTTCTTGAAATGTTTCCTTTCTTTTGCTTTTGTCACATCTGCCTCCTCATTTTGTCTTTTGCTGGCTTCTGTGCAGACTCCCCACCGTTATCATGTTGGAGTCCTCAGGTCGAAGTCCTCGGTGTATTTACTTCTATTATTCAGTCCGATAGTTAGGTACTATCTGTGTGCTAATGAAACCCCACATTTATATTTTGAGGGCTGACCTTTCTCTGAACTCTAGACTTTGCTCTCCATGTCTGCTTGATATCTCCATTTGGAAGTATACTAGATGCTGCACCCGTAACATGTCCAAAACCACCGTTGATTCTGACCCCAGGCCTGTCCTAAATCTTCTCCCCAGGATTTCTTCATTTCAATAAATAATACCAATATTCACCCAGTTGCTTAGGCCAAAACCTTTTGAGTTCATCCGTGATTTCTCTCTTTTCTCATACCTCACATTCTAAATTTTGTAACGCACCTTTAGAAGATATCCCAAACCAGTGCTTATTCTCTTGACTTGCCTACCATCTTACTCCAAGTCCTCTTATCCTTAGGAGGCTGTCATTGCCTTTTAAGTGGTCTCTCCACTTCTTCTCTTTGCTTTCCCCAGTCCAGATTGTTCTTAGCACAGTTGCAGAAATGATCATTCTAAAATGTAAATCAAGTTTCTCCCAAACTCTTTTGGCTGTCTCTTATATTTAAATTAAATATATAAATTATATTAAAAAATTCAGGGACTTCCCTGGTGGTACAGTGGTTAAGACTCTGCGCTCCCAGTGCAGGGGGCCCGGGTTTGATCCCTGGTCCGGGAACTAGATCCCACATGCATGCTGCAACTAAGAGTTCACATGCCACAACTAAGGAGCTGGCGAGCTGCAACTAAGGAGCCTGCCTGCCACAACTAAGAAGCATACATTCTTCAATTATGGAGCCCACCTGCCGCAACTAAGACTGGATGCAACCAAGAAAAAAACAACAAAAAAAATTAAAATTCCCACTATGTTCTACATCTTCGGGAAGGTTTTCAAAATAAAAGAGTAGGATGAAAAATAAATAAAACATAGCCCCCACCACATTTACCCTCTGTTTCTGCTTTATTTTCCCTTGTTGCACTTTTTATTTCTCGACAGTTCGTTTGTCTCCCTCACTGTCAAGTGAGCCCTGTGAAGGCAATACTTTTTCCCTTTTTTCCTGCTTTTTATTGCATTCATAATTTTTTCCTATTGATTATATATTATATTTTGTTTTGTTTTTGAGATGGTTTTCCTTAAGACTCATGTTTCTTTACCCTGTTGAATTTAATTTTGAAAGAATTTCAAACTTAGAGTTCGAATTGATTTCTTAGTCTTAGCAATATGAATAATGATTTATCATATTTTCATATCTCTTTGTATCTATCATCTAGCATTTCATTTTCTAGTTATTTAAATATATACTTCCTATTTTGTCTTGGCCCCCTAACATTTTTCATATTTTGAAAAATTCAGGTTTTTATATATATATATAAAATTTTATATATATATAAAAAATTCAGATTTTTATACTATGTATATATGTGTGTATATATATATATACACACACACACATATATATATATATATATACACACACACACATATATATATATATATATATACACACACACACATATATATATATATAGTAAAATTACTGTAAAATTCACCCATGTCGTGAGTTTTGACAGTTGTATACTGTCATATAACCACTACCACAACAAGATAAAGAACAGTTCCATCATACTAAAAAAATTACTTGATGCCCTTTTGCTGTCATTCCTGATCCCATCTTCTGCCCTAGGCAGTCACTTACCTATTTTCTGATTCTGGCCTTTTTTTTTTTTTTTTGCGATACGTGGGCCTCTCACTGTTGTGGCCTCTCCCGTTGCGGAGCACAGGCTCCGGACGCGCAGGCTCAGCGACCATGGCTCACGGGCCCAGCCGCTCCGCGGCACGTGGGATCCTCCCGGACCGGGGCACGAACCCGCGTCCCCTGCATCGGCAGGCGGACTCTCAACCCCTGCGCCACCGGGGAAGCCCGATTCTGGCCTTTTTAACTTAGCATATTTAATGCATTTGACATTCATTTATGTCATCGCATATATCAGTAGCTGTTTCCTTTTTATTGCTGAGTAGGATTCTCTTTTATGGAGGTGCCTACCTCATTTTTTTTTTTGTTTTTGCAGTACGTGGGCCTCTCACTGTTGTGGCCTCTCCCGTTGTGGAGCACAGGCTCCGGACGCGCAGGCTCAGCGGCCATGGCTCACGGGCCCGGCCGCTCCGCGGCATGTGGGATCTTCCCGGACCGGGGCTCGATCCTCTTTGGAGAAATGTCTATTCAGGTCTTCTGCCCATTTAAAAAAAAAAAAATTTATTTATTTATTTATTTATGGCTGCATTGGGTCTTCATTGCTGCTTGCGGGCTTTCTCTGGTTGTGGAGAGTTGGGGCTTCTCTTTGTTGCGGTGCGTGGGCTTCTCATTGCGGTGGCTTCTCTTGTTGTGGAGCAGGGGCTCTAGGCACGCAGGCTTCAGTAGTTGTGGCTCGTGGGCTCTAGAGCACAGGCTCAGTAGTTGTGGCGCATGGACTTAGTTGCTCCACAACATGTGGATCTTCCTGGACCAGGGCTCGAACCCATGTGCCCTACATTGGCAGGGGGATTCTTAACCACTGCGCCACCAGAGAAGCCCTCTACCACATTTAATTTATCATTTTCCAATTAAGGGATATTTGGGTAGTTTCCAGTTTGGGGCAGTTATGAATAAAATTGGTATAAATATTCACTTGCAGATTTTGGTGTGAATGTAGGGTTTTTATTTCACTTAGGTAAAAATACTTAAGAAAGAGGTAATTTTTCAAGGAAAATGCCAAAGTATTTTCCAGTGTGACTGTACTAGTTTGCATTACCACTAATGATATAGAGTGGCTTGGCAGGATGTTTCTTATTGTTCTGATTCAACTTTACTCTTGGGTGAGTGCTGTGTCCCTAGGTCTCGGGGATCCCGTCATTGTCTCAGCTAGTGGAGACCCATCATGGTCTGGGTCTTCGCAGTCTTGCTCCTCCTCCAGGGGGGAGGTTCATCCCATCCCCCATTCATTCCTCCATCTGCAGCTGGTCTTGACCATTGCAGGGCAGAGACTTTGCTCTCCTTTTACCAGTCTGAGGCTTTTCTTTCTCAGGGAAGATGAAGAAGAAAGATCTTTGTGTCTTTCCCATGTCTCTGCTATTCTCCTGCCCAGGCTTTTACCATGACCGGTGCATTCTCAGGACTGTTCTCCATGCCTGAGTAGTGGACACGAGCACCGGGGGAGGTGCACGGAGAGAAGCTCGTGAGTGGCTTAGAATTCCCCTGTGTTTGCGGGTCCTGGGTGTTCTGTACTCTTCTACCGCCACAAACTTGGCTTTTAGCAATTTATAAAATTTTCACTGAATTCTTTAGCCTGCTTGGATGACATCCAGTGAGTGGCCTCTTCCTCAGATTAAGCAAGGGCTTGTGTCTCTTCTCTTCTTGGAAGTGCCTTTCATTCAACTGCAGGTGAATTGTTTCCTCTGCAACTTTTGTAATCTGATGTGTTCAAGAAAAGTGAATTTGTGGATTTTCTGGCGAGTTTTTGCTGTGACAGTGGGAGCAAAGTTCTTTGCAACTTTCTACTACATCCAAAGCGGAAGCCAGGGATTTCCTTTGTTCCACCCTTTAAAGTTAACAATAAATTACTCTGAGATATTTGACAGTCTTTATTTCCTACATGCCTTGTAACATTTCCTAATTCTTTAATAATTTGAATATTTCTCTAAAAATATTTACATTGTGGGTCTGTTGTGTAGTGAAATTTCTCAGGTCTTATAGAAACCTGGGAATAATTTTATTTTACCTTTACATTTGAGTTATGGTTTTGGATTTAAAATTGAAGGTTAAGATATTTTTTGTCAATACTTTAAAAGTATTTTTCCATTTCCTAATCAGTGTTGTTCATAAAGTTGCTGTCCATCTGATTGTTGCTCCTCATAGGTAATGTTTCTAGGGGAAGAAACAAACTAGAAACAGGGTATGCTGAAAGAAACGTAAGTTTAAAGCTTAGAGAAAATTATAAATAAGAAAATTTAAAAAATTAATAAGTTACTGGCAAAGGAATTTGGTGGATAGTATCCTTTAGGCAAGAAGAAAAACACTTTTCCCCCTATTTGACTTTATTTTTCTGAAAGTAGACCACATTTAATCACGTGCGCGTGCGCGTGCGCGTGTGTGTATGTGTCAGTATCAACAGACAGCACAGTTTCTATCATGAAGTTGAAATACGTAATATTGGAAAAACTTAAATAGGTGACTTTTATAAACAAAAGGTAATTAGTTGAGAGAGGTCCAATATGAATTTAACTTGAGTTAAACATTACCTGAAAAGATTATTTCCATCACCTGTTAATGTAAGACATTATGAAAGTTCCTGAGGTAGATACTACAGAGGTGATGGTGGGAACTTTAATGCTTGAGAAGAAAGATTTGAGTACAGCAGCCATAAATGTGTTGTGAAGAGAAGATATATCCAAGAGGGGCAGTTCTTTTAATTCTGTTGTTTTCTAAGATCCCTTATCAAGCATATATTCCATAAGTATATATTGGTTTTTGTCCTTTAACTTTTTAAATGGTTTCTTTTTAAAGAAAATTATAGATTTTATTGTTTAGAACAACTTCAGGTTTACAGAAAAGTTAAGCAGATGGTAAACAGCGTTCCCCCTCCCCAGCCTTTCCCTGCCTCAGTTTCCTCTAATATTAGCATCTTTCATTAGTGTGATACATTTGTTACAACTGATAAACCAGTATTGATACATTATTATTATTATTATTATTTAAATTTATTTATTGATTTTATTTTTGTGTTTTCATTGCTGCGCGCGGGCTTTCCTTAGTTGTGGCGAGTGGGGGCTACTCTTCGCTGCTGTGGATACATTATTATTAATTAAAGTTCATAGTTTCCATTCATTCTTTGTGTTACATACAGTTCTGTGAGTTTTGATAAATGTGCAAATGTCATGTATCTGCCATTATCTACAGTAATAGCATCTGAAGCAGTTTCACTGCTCTGCAAACCCAGTTTTGCCTTTTGGTCCCTTTCCCACCCCTCTCAAACCCTTTCTGTCCGGGCCCCTGTCCCTCATCACTAACTGCTTAACCCACTTAAATTTATTTTTTTATATCTCTCTGTGTGTATGGTATATATATTATGCATAAAGAATGTTCCATCAAGTAGTTAAGTAAAACTTGGTCACCACTTGTTTTACATAGCTGGGGTATAATTCAGTGGCCATTACACTGTACCTTCTTCCCCAACCTTAATTTTTTACTTTCTTTATTCCTTTTTAATACTTCGAGATTTTTTTTTTTTTTAAGAGAATTGATGGTAATTTATTTTCACTGTGAAAATCATGGAATGGTGATGGGGAGTTAAATTTAACTGATTCAGAATACCCCCAAGGAGCAAGAAAAAGTATATTTCAGTCTCTGTGGAGAAAAGGAAGGTAAAAAGTAGGATGAGAAACTAAAACACTTGGATGGCAAAAGTAATCTGATGAAAAATAAGGAACTAGGTTAACACACAAAATATCACCAACTAAATTCAGGGATTAAAGGGAGTTGTTTTTTTTTTTTCTGCGGTACGCGGGCCTATCACTGTTGTGGCCTCTCCCGTTGCAGAGCACAGGCTCCAGATGCGCAGGCTCAGCGGCCCTGGCTCATGGGCCCAGCCGCTCCGCGGCATGTGGGATCCTCCCAGACCGGGGCACGAACCCGTGTCCCCTGCATCGACAGGCGGACTCTCAACCACTGCGCCACCAGGGAAGCCCTTATAGGGAGTTTTAAAAATTTAGACATCTCTGTTATGTTTGTGCAGATTAAGGGGAAATTTAAAAATTCCATTCAGGTTCAACTATTTTTATTTCATGCTCACATAAAAGAGTCTCTATTTCTTAGACCAAAAACAGATAGATGGTCTCCAATTTATGATGGTTCAACTTAAGATTTTTCTCCTTCCTTCCTTCCTTTCTATTTTTTTATTTTTTACATCTTTATTGGAGTATAATTGCTTTACAATGGTGTGTTAGTTTCTGCTTTATAACAAAGGGACTCAGTTATACATATACATATGTTCCCATATCTCTTCCCTCTTGCGTCTCCCTCCCTCCCTCCCACCCACCCCTCCAGGCGGTCACAGAGCACCAAGATCAAGCTGATCTCCCCGTGCTTCCTACTATCTACCTTACGTTTGGTAGTGTATATATGTCCATGCCACTCTCTCGCTTTGTCACAGCTTACCCTTCCCCCTCCCCATATCCTCAAGTCCATTCTCTAGTAGGTCTGTGTCTATTCCTGTCTTACCCCTAGGTTCTTCATGACATTTCTTTTTTCTTAAATTCCATATATATGTGTTAGCATACGGTATTTGTTTTTCTCTTTCTGACTTACTTCACTCCGTATGACAGACCCTGAGTCCATCCACCTCACTACAAATAACTCAAATTCGTTTCTTTTTATGGCTGAGTAATATTCCGTTGTATATACGTGCCACATCTTCTTTATCCATTCATCTGTTGGTGGGCACTTAGGTTGCTTCCATGTCCGGGCTATTGTAAATAGAGCTGCAGTGAACATTTTGGTACATGACTCTTTTTGAATTATGGTGTTCTCAGGGTATATGCCCAGTAGTGTGATTGCTGGGTCATAGGGTAGTTCTATTTGTAGTTTTTTAAGGAACCTCCATACTGTTCTCCATAGTGCCTGTACCAATTCACATTCCCACCAGCAGTGCAAGAGTGTCCCACACCCTCTCCAGCATTTATTGTTTCTAGATTTTTTGATGATGGCCATTCTGACTGGTGTGTGATGATATCTCATTGTAGTTTTGATTTGCATTTCTCTAATGTTTAATGGTGTTGAGCATTCTTTCATGTGTTTGTTGGCAGTCTGCATATCTTCTTTGGAGAAATGTCTATTTAGGTCTTCTGTCCATTTTTGGATTGGGTTGTTTGTTTTTTTATTATTGAGCTGCTTATAAATTTTGGAGATAAATCCTTTGTCAGTTGCTTCATTTGCAAATATTTTCTCCCATTCTGAGCGTTGTCTTTTGGTCTTCTTTATGGTTTCCTTTGCAGTGCAAAAGCTTTGAAGTTTCATTAGGTCCCATTTGTTTATTTTTGTTTTTATTTCCATTTCTCTAGGAGGTGGGTCAAAAAGGATCTTGCTGTGATTTATGTCATAGAGTGTTCTGCCTATGTTTTCCTCTAAGAGTTTGACAGTTTCTGGCCTTACATTTATGTCTTTAATCCATTTTGAGCTTATTTTTGTGTATGGTGTTAGGGAGTGATCTAATCTCATACTTTTACACGTAGCTGTTCAGTTTTCCCCGCACCACTTATTGAAGAGGCTGTCCTTTCTCCACTGTACCTTCATGCCTCCTTTATCAACTTCGAGATTTTTAAATCAGGTTTAAAAGAAAATTATTTTTCTAAGCACAAACTATAATTTTTTGATTTGGTATATTTACTACTTAAAAAAATCATGCTATAGAAAAGTCGAATTGCAAATGTATAATTTTTATTGAACTTAATTGTTCTTACGGTATAGATATTTTTAAATGCTTAGCTTGCACTAAAGACATAATATTTAATTTTAAAGCACAAGTATCTGCAATAGTCTGGAACTTGAAATAGTTAAATAAAACGACTTCTCCTCTCTGTCTTCCGTACTTTTCACTTCTACCAGTGAACAGCTCTGCGCTTTTTGTTACTGTGGTGAAAAAAGCTCCTTAGGACAAGGAGACTTAAAACAATTTAGAGTAACGCCTGGATTTATTTTGCCATGGAAAAACCAGCCTTCTAACAAGAAGGACGTTGATGACAACAGCAGTGGAACTTGTGAGAAAATACAAAACTCAACACCACGAAAACAAAGAGGACAGAGAAAGTAAGCAATTTTGAATTTAAGTGGTTTCTAACGCAATAAGACTATATATAGTTTATTTTCATTGCGATGTTTATGAATATACAAATGGGATTGTTACTGAACAATTTTTATGTTTCCAACATTCATACGATGCTTTATGACTCACCATTAACCCAGCACTCATTTTCTCAAAATTTCTTTCTTATTTAAAAAAAAGTTTAAGCTAGTTGTGTATTAACAAAAAAGAAGAAAACTTTAAAGAACACAATATAAGGAAGGCTAGAGGGGATAGGGGATTCATGGAATTTATCTGTATATGGAATGAAAATTTTAGAAAATCAATGAGATCTTTCTTTCCTTTTCCTAGATAAGTTTTAAATAGTTTGTAAGAGTATAACATAAAAGAATAGCAAAACCAAAGTGGTTTTACCTATATGTGTCATTTATTTATTTGTTTTTATGGTTCAGAGAATGTTGAACTGTCCTGTAAACTCTTACAGTACAGTGTTAACTTTCTTTCCTTCTAAATAATCATGTGCTGAGAATTCCCTTTCTAAAGTCAAAGAAGATGCTCTTTTTTTTATATGAAAGAATTTACATGTTGTACACCTGAAACTAATATAATATTGTAAATCAACTATAATTTTAAAAAAAGAATTTACTATTTGTATAACTATATATGTGTGTCTATATTCATGGACCTTATAGTTGCCCCAAACTCTTGTCTAATATGTTTGCTTTTGGAGTTAGTATTTTTTTTACATGTTGTAGGTTTGTTTGAAGGCCATCTTAATATGTGGACTTGGCTCTGGTAGTTGAGGGAATAGAAGTTTCTGTGGTTGATGAGAAAGTGTAAAAATTAATTTAGCTTGTAAGGCTAGCCAGCTCTGCCCCTTGAGGGTGATGATGTAATCATCCAGGTGCTTATCTGGCTTTTATCCAAAGTTAGGTACTAAGGCATTGTGTTGTACTTATTTGATTGGCTTCTTCTTTTGGACTGCTGCCAGTGCCTTGAAGACCTGAAGTAGGAAATGAAACAATAACAAGAAAAACCCTTTTAAAAGAATTTAAAGTGGAACAGCTTAAGGAAATTTAGAAGTATTGTATTTAGAGTTTTGGTGTTTTTAAAGGCCATAGCTAGCTTTACCTTTCGTGATCAATTGGGAGCTCACTTTCTAATAAAATATATCAAAAGTCCAGAAAACTTATGTCCATCGGTCATTTGTAAATTTACTGGACTGGATCAGGTTATATCGTATATCCTCATGTTCTGCCTTGAATAATGGCAATTAATAAACAACTGTTCTGGGAAATACAGTTAGGCTTCATTTATTTATTTATTTTATAAGCTAAGTTAATTTTTAGTGAAAACTTTATGAGCTAAAATAATTATGTAAAAGTAGCCTTGGTTTAATGAAAGTCTTTATATACACTTAAGAGTTTAACAAGTTATTAAGTGATGATAACAAGCCGGTTAATGGACCTTAGGAATAAAGCATGTTTATGAAATTTGGAAATCATTTAGGGATAAACAGTTACTTTAGCTTGATCATTTTAAATATTTACAGAATATGTTGCTAATGAGTTATAAACCAGATAAACAACTAGTTAATTTTTTAATTTGAAAAGGAGTATTTTAAAATAGTTTTTCCCTCATGGTGCAGTAAATATAAGAATATATAATCAAGGATTCATTCCCTCCTTTTTTTTAGACTTAAAATGGGGGGGGTATGTAAATATTTCAGCTGACTTCTCTCGATGTTCTCTCCGAAGCTGGGTTCCTCATCCGTAGGGTTGGTGGTGTCAGCATCTTACTGATGTGTTGTGTACATACAAACTGGTTGTAAAACCTGAAGGTGAAATTTGACTAACCTGCTGCTTGGGAACTGGTTAGTAATAGACTGGTTAGTCATTCCATGGGTTTTTATACCTGTCCCCCCATCAAATTACGGGTGTAAAGAAAATATGTTAAAACAATGCATTCGTCTTCATAGATGAACTGTTAGTCTTTTTTTCCTCCTAATGAATTAGCAAGTTAGTAATGAAGATGTATTTGTAGGAATGGAGATTATATTTACTGGAAGGTTTGTTCTCATTTCATTGTGGGCAAATGTTATAAAAACAAGAATTTGAAGTTAGCATAGCATGGTAAACTTAAAAAAAAAGTCTATGCATTTCTACTGCTGAACATAAAAATTACTGGTTATTTTTTATATGGTTTGATATTTAAATGTACTTATTGAAATATGTTAATACTTTTTTTCTTTCAATGATTCCAGGTATAAAAAAGTTTAGTACCCTGGTCATTGTGCTGATTTTCTCTTAATAGGAATCATGATATATATCCAGCATACAGCAGTGCAGTGAGTTATGATCTATATTCAATAGTGATTTAATCCAGAATTATGATCAGGTTAAATACTGTGATATCAGGAGAAGATTAAAGTCTTAGTGCCAGCCATCTGATTTCCCATGTTTAATGTTAATCACAATAGTAGTCATTGTTTACTTCTTGATCTCAATTCATATATGAAGTTTTAGAGCTTTCAAAATTTGAAATCTCCCATATGTTATTCAGTGAACACTTACTCAGTGTTCATTTTTATACTGTACTTTTTGCTATTACACTTTTCCCCTTATTCCCAGGTCACTAGTAGCTGTTTTGTTTTTGCTTTTTACTTCTGGTTTGTGAGGTAAAGTCTTAGCAGAGGATACTTGCAGCATCATGCCACAGTCCAGCTGTCGGGATTGCTGAGGGGACCTTAAGGAGGCTCCAGGGCTCACATTTCTCTCCCACTGCCTCCCTCTTCACACTTCTAGTGGGTCTTCATTTCCCCTGGGAAGTAACCTTGCTGTCCGTAAAACTAACTGCCAGCTCTGTAGTGGCAGTCCTCACTGATCATAAAGCAAATTAGAAATATCTGATTTGATCAAGTTGTTTTTTAAGCATTTAAGGAGGGCCAAAGGGAATATTCATTTTATGTGATAAAATATGGTTCCTGACTAGACTATTAGAGTGTCACTTAAAAATATATATATATAAAATGGCAAAATAAGTCTGCAACTGTAATTTGTAACACTTCCTTATGGATTTGGAGACTTTTTTTTTAGTTGCTTACATGATATAATATAGCTATCCAGTTTTATATCTATACTATGAATAATAACATATTCTAAAAGTTGTTTTATGATAGTTTATGCCTAAGTAAAATTGATTAGGCAATACATTATATTTAAGTCGTTATAAAAGGAAACAATTTTCTACTTGTTATCACTTTCACATCCATTTTGTTTTATTTTATTTTCCAGGGAACGGTCTCCTCAGCAGAATATAGTACCTTGTGTAAGTGTAAGCACGCAGACTGCTTCAGATGATCAGGCTGGTAAATTATGGGATGAACTCAGTCTGGTTGGCCTTCCGGATGCCATTGATGTCCAAGCCTTATTTGACCCTACAGGTATGAGCCAGTCTTCATTAATAACTACCTTTTGATTCTGTAAGCATTTTCACTTTAGCAAATTATCTACTTAATAGTAAATACTGTTCATCTAGAAATAATTATCACATTGGAAAAACGTCATTGTTAAGTATACCTGCTTAGGTAAAATAAATTGTCTAATTATGTTTACCTAACTTACTTAGCATCTGCACAGGGCCATCACTGGGCTGGATGCTTTTATAAATGTTTGCATTTACACTTGTGTAGGCAGCAGTGCCATGGAGATCTGACAGTTGCAGAGAGAGAAATTTTAAAGGGATCTATGAAAACCCGGGGAACATGGCAGTCTGGGTCTACTTGAAGTAGGGGTGAAGGGTAAAGATCTAAGCCCTGTGAATGTCCTGTAACGCAGCATAGTAATCCATACTCAGGATTTGGTGCTGTTGGGGTTTTGAGTGAAGAACTGCGTGTAATTGTTCAGGTGCTCTGTGAGAGAGAGTTTAAAGACTGAGCTGTTACTGATGATTGATGTGGGCTCTTGGTGTGGGGTGCAGTGGAATAGAGGTGTATATGTAGCTTATTTGTCAGAAACAAAGTATTAAGTAATTTTCCTTTATGTTTTATGTAAATACACCAAATAAAATATAGTAACGGTTAAATAAAATGACTAGAAACGAATTTCTCTGTTGAAGGAATAATCACTAAATTCACTGTGCATCAGAATCACTTGGAGGGCTTGTTGACACATTGATTTCTGGGCACCATGGCAAGAGCTTTTGATTCAGTAGGTCTTGGTTGTGGTCTGATATTTGCATTTATAACAAGTTCCTAGATGATACATTTCAAGGAGGGCTGCTTTAGTGGTATCACAAATATTGGATGCCATTGTGTATTCACACATTTGAATTGATTTGGGGGATTTTCACCGTCACTTATTAGCGTTAATACGTTTAATGTTTATTCAGTTGCTTCTTTTCACTTTAACCATTTTAGGCACTTGCTGGGCTCATCACCGTTGTGTGGAATGGTCACTGAGGGTGTGCCAGATGGAAGAACCGTTGTCAGTGAACGTGGACAGAGCTGTTGTCTCAGGGAGCACAGAAGTAAGTAGAAGAAACACATATTTAAACAACAGCTTTATAACATTTACTGTGTCAACATAAAAGATTCACTTCCAAGATTTATTAAATGATTACTATCATGTAAAAATCCTTAAAATAGGAAACTATTAATTTATATCCAAGAGTAGTTTGTGCAGACCACTAGAATATAGTATGTTAAGTTGTGCAATAAATGCATATCTTTAAAATAAATATTTTACATTTAAATCAGAAATTAAAATTCTTAGAAATGGGTATTACTGACTATGATTACGCATCTTACTCTTTAAGACAAAACTTAGACGAAGATTTAAAATAAGAGAGACAGGATTTGACATCTTTAGTCCACAGTGTGAGCTAGCTCTGTTCGCTATTTTAAAAATTGATTAAAATATTTCTTTTCAGTAAAGTTGGCAGTTCGGTTTGTCTTTTTGGCACTATCCCAAAGTAATATCATATACACCGTCTGCCATCTTTCAAAGCTTTCACTGCGATTTTCATGTGATTTTGAATCGAGAAATAAATGCAACGTTTACCTTCCATCTATAAAGGCAACAAACCCTATGAAGTGAAATTGCTTTGCTGCCTACAAATTCCCTCTGGTTTTTGACAGGTATATTTGGGAGAAGTGAAACAGGCCTTCCAAAGGAATATTAGAAGTGGAATTTTTTACCGTAGAAATTATACGGGCTTTAATAGATTTAATATAGGTAAACATTTCAAAAGTATTGTTGAGACACGGACTTAGATTTAATTATTCAGTTATTATAACATTTGCTTTACTCAGGTGATCAAAATTACCTACTTTATATGGATGAGTAACCCTCACCTCAGGATTAGTCAAGTTAAGGGTGTCTGTTTTGGAAATGTGACATTACATTTAAAGGCTTACATTACCAAATTTTGAACAGTATAATGCACGATAAATAATTTCCGCAGTCTGAACATACTTAGATGGCCAGATCGTGACTGTGATAGATCAGTGAGAACTGTTTCTTCCATGAACTGCTTTAGAAGTAGCTTTGGAATATTTTGTGACAGTGAGAAGCGTTATAGGAAAGGCAATGAGCAAAGGCTAAAATGAACTGTAACAACCCATTTTTGATAAGGCTGTGGGGAAATAGGCACTCTTATGCTTCATTGGTGGGAATGCAAATTGGTACATGTCTTCTGGGGAGAAATTTGGCGAAATGCCTAACAGACTATACATGCACTTATCTTTTGACCTTTCTGAGATTCTATCCTGAAAATATGCCTCCAATAATACAAAAACATTAACAGCATTGTTCAGTTTGCAAAATATTGGAAACAACCTCTGACCACACATAATAGAATGGTTGAATAGACCGTGGTATGGTTCATACAGTGGAATACTGTGCAACTGTAAAAATACTGTGAGGAATATTTTTATGAACTAATACAAAGTAGTTTCCAATATATACTTTTAAGTGGAATAAAAAAGTGCAAAAGACCACTTATGGTGTGCAACACTTTATGTAGGAAGGAATGAGATGTAAGAAAGTATATATGCATATGCACATTTGTGGAAAAGAAACACAGGAAGAATAAGCCAGAAAGTAGAGAGATTGGTTACCTGTCTCTAAAAGGTGGGTGGGAAACAGGTGGAATGAAGACAGGAGTGGGATCCGTATAGCAGGGATGTGGTGCGACACTTCTCAGATATATCTTTTTGTATAGCTCTGACTCTTAGAACCATGAGAATGTTTCACCTACCCCTGAATAAGCAACTACAGCCATCTGGGCTATGGGGGAACCTAAAATGGGATAGCAAAATTCACATTGACAGGGGTAGGGAAAAAACTAAGCAACTGAAAAATAGTGTCTTGACTGGATACCCGTAAAGCTAAAGACAAAAAACCCCTGCATATACATGCACATACCTGCTGTAATCGAGTGAGTAAAATTCTAAAATGACTTTTGTGGTGGTAGAATTGGAGATATCAATATAAACTTAAGGTTTTTAATATTTATATGGAAAGATACAGAAATATAGGTATGTGTGTATGCATGTGTTAGTATGCTGCATTTATCTCCTAGCTCTGTGCCCTGTGAAGGCCTAGAAGTAGTGACTTCTGGTAGCAGTGAACACATCTAGTGCCTAGATCTTGGTTTCTAACCAGTGTTCTCCAATGAAAAGGACCAGAGCTCCTTGAAAAGTGGCTCATGGTGCAGGGAAGATACAAGATGAGGTGCCAGAAAGCAAGGAAGTGCTCAGAGAGATGGGGACTCAAGCACAGGAGCCAACCTGAAGGAGCCCCTAAGAGCTGGACCAATTTGAGCAGCAACAGAAAATAATGATAGTCTTGGGGTTTCATCCATGGAATGAGCCACACTGATAAATAAATTGATAAAATAGATACGTAGCGTAGGTCAAGTCACATCACTTCTCTGCCTAACACTCTTCAGTGACTTCCCGTTTCACTAAGAGGAAAAAAGCCAGTCCTTCCTGACTGGCAAGGCCTCCACCATCTTCACCACTCCCACGAGTGCCCTTCCCCTCCCTCGCTTCCTTCAGCCTCAATGATCTCTTTGGTCTTCCTCAAAACCGTCCACCTCTAGGCCTTTGCAGTCCCTGTTCCCTACATGCATGGCTTCCTCCCTCATTTCCTTTAGGTATTTATTGATGTTACCTAATCTGTGAGGGCTTTGCTGGGCTCCCTATTGAAAATTTCAGGAGACTCCCCCTCCCATCATACCCCCGCTGGATTGTTCTCTCCTCCGTACTTACCAGCGTCTAACACAGTGTATATTTACTTAATAACCTTATCTGTCTCTCCTCACTAGATAATAGTGCCCTTCTGAAAAGGATCTTTTTCTGTTTTGGTCATTCCTCAATAAATACTAGTAGCCTAAATGAATAGCCCTAAAGATCATTCATGGAATCATTCATAGTTAGAAGAAAGAAGTCACAAGTAAGTGCCAAAGTATTAAAGGAGGTCACCAGTGTGGTTAATTTTATATAAGCTTATAAATTTATAATTGTCAAAAGAACCCCTCTAAAATAGAGTAAATCTTTACAGTCCTACGTAAGAGGTGGGGTGGGGTGGTGTGAAAATGAAAAATCTTTGATGTCTTAAAAGGTTCCCCAGGGGCAAAGTGTGTAAAAGTGCTGTTGAGCTTAGAACAGGCTTTTATTTTACCAAAAAACAGATGTTAAAAATTTGTCGACAGTTATTAGGATGACGTGGCTGAATGTATTATATCTACCTCTGTTTTCAAAGAAAATAAACACGTCATCTGCCTCTTCAAGATAAAGGTGGTGTTTCAACAATAAGAATGTAATGACTTTTCACAGAAACATGTGCTGAGGGTTGAGCATTTTGAAAACAGATGTTTGGAACTATTTCTATTGGTAGTTTATTGTCAGAAACAGTGAAAGTTTGTAATCAAACAAACAACAAAAATATTCTCACATTGGTTGCCAAAAAATCCTGGACACAATTTTCTGATTAAAATATTCTAAAGAGTTTATGGATGTTTTAAACTCCTTTGTTAAAAATTAATATTTTTTTTACTTTGGAAGGTGAAAATCTACTGGCTAATTTTTGATAATTTTGGTTGGGATTGAAAAATGGTTGTAGAAATATGTACTTTTGTTTAGATCTCCCTATTTTTGTGAGAATCATTTTTTTAAAAGCCTTTGACAGATACTGAAATAAACTGAAGTTAGCATTGGACCTTTCAATCTTTTAATGATGGAAAAGAACAAGATACAAAGCTCAGATGGGGGGTTGCAGTACTCTAAACTTTTGGATTGTCTGCATCTTTAAATAAGAAATAGTTGAGCACGTGTCCTTAATATACATCGTCATTGGAATATGTGTCTCTCCTTTATGTCACTTAGCAACATTTGTAAATTTATGTTGTTTCTCTGAGTATTTAATTACCTTTGGTCCCCCCACTAGGGCTGTAGGCATCACGAGGGCATGAATACTGTATGTGTTGGTTTGTCATTTTATCTCTAGTGCCTGACAAAGTACCTGGAACACAAGGGAGTCATTTATGGGATAAATGTATGCATGAGTGGAGTTTGCCAGTGAAGGGCAATACTGAGTGCTGTGGTCCAAGGGAGCGGAGTGTGCTACTGGCACCTAGTGGCGCTGCGAACCACCTGCACTGCACAGGCAGGACCCAGCTCCCCTGGTGCCAAGGTTGACAAACCCCCCGTAATCAGGAAATATTATTTCTATTTTAAAACTAATACATTTAATATATTTCCTCCATTGTTAAATGGCATGCATTATCAAGCGGTTCATTTTTTCTGGATTGTCCCACAGATTGTTTTTCTGTTACAGCAGATTGTTTAGGTTTTCCACAGGGAACTTTATTTATTTTTTGCTAGATGGGAGAATATGCTAAACTACGACCTGTATTTCAGGAAAGGTAATGGCGTTTCTCTTTTAATTTCCTCTTTGGAGCCCTGGGGGTGCTACCAACAACTTGGAAATCTGGATAATTTGAATATTACCAAGGGAATACTTTAATCCTGAATTCTACAGATGTTTGATCATTTATTTACCTAACGGCCCTCTTTCTAGCACTTCGCTCATTGCCCCCCAAAGAAATATCCCATAAACCTCCAACACATATTTCCGTTATTTAAGTAGTTCTGAATCAGCTGTTCAGCCTTACTCTATAAATAAAACATTAAAACATTACTTATAACATCTCTCCACTTAGACTGGTAATTTCTCATGCTTTCTTCACCCTCATCATCTGCCACAACCCCATATCTTTTCTTTTTTTAATTTTTTGGCTGCGCTGGGTCTCCGTGCTGTGCATGGGTTTTTCTCTAGTTGTGGCGAGTGGGGGCTACTCTTCATTGCAGTGGCTTGGTTTCTCTTGTTGTGGAGCATAGGCTGTACGTGCATGGGCTCAGTAGCTGTGGCTTGCGGGCTCTAGAGCGTGGGCTCAGTAGCTGTGACGCACGGGCTTAGTTGCTCCGTGGCATGTGGGATCTTCCCAGACCAGGGCTCGAACCC